AATCCCACGGCCCTGGAATTCACTCCTGCCATGGAAGTCGACCATGTCCACTAAGTATACCCGCAAAAACGCAAAAACGCAGCGGTAGAGTTTCACCCCCGACCCTAATATATATATATATTTATATATATATATATATCCCCAGTAATGGGGAATCACATGGACGTTTGAATTGAATGCAGCTCGAGCGTGCTCTGAGCATGGTGGTGCCCTGCAGTCCTAAAAGATAAACTGGAGAACAACATGGAAAATGAGATGGAATCTGGGATTATAATAAAGTGGCTTATAGGGAATATGAGCTACTGTCAATACCAGGGTTACCAAGGGACCACTAATATCATTAAGGGTGGACATATAATAAAGGGGAAGGTTGACCGTAGCTCAAACGATGTACCTCCTTCAATGTATCCTGGCGCAGGGGAACCCAATTCTGTAGCAGCTTTGTGTCGATCCTTCTTCGAAGGGTTCCTGCCTCGAATATCGTTGTAGCGGACATTTAGGGGCCAGCTCCTCTTAAGGTCGAACTGCATCAATCGAACAGCTCGAGACCGTCGGGAGAGGCCCGGACGAGTTTTCTTTGTGAAGGCTTCATGGTTTGGGCGTGGAGGTGCTGAATGCAATAGCGAATACCTCCAAAGTGTTTCTGGTGTAGGCAATTTGTTTGCACATGCGCGTGCTAGCTGCTCTGCAAACCATCTTGTCTTGATGGGGATGAAGTCTACGCATCAGCTTGAGGTGACCCCTAGCGGCCCTAGCGACGGGCCTTCGCCGGTTAGGCCAGCTACGAAGGCGCGGATGCTGCAAAGCATGTGTGCCATTGCCGAAGATACATCAGATCTGGAAGCAATTTAATGTAGTGCGACATGGTAGTTTCCCAAAATATGGAGACCCCAACATGGATCCCAAAATATTTTTGTCCTTATTATAGGGACCCCAGAAAGGTACCCCTAATTTTAGGAAAGCCCCACATGTTCTAGAGGGCCAGCAAACACGCCGATTGCAAATGCCCTGCTACGACCTGCATACCAGGATGCGGCCACCTTCCGAGAAAAGCCAGCCCAGCAGATGAATTCTCGTTCCATCACCTGGACGTGATGCTTGTTGGGTCCAGGCCCTTCAATGCGCATAAACCAAGCCATCTTTGCTTCCAGGTCCAGCGTGTTTTTCACAGTGGCTTGAGAGCTTTTCGTTCTTCTCTGATATTAGTGGCCCAAAGAACATGCAAGGATGGCTTGAGAAGCTGCTGTAGGGGCATGTACAAATTGATGAGGGCTTGGCCTGTAAGATGCAGGCTGCCTGTGTATCACCACACTAGAGGAGATTAGCTAGACCGGTTGTGCACGCACACTGGGGAAAGCTTTGACACATGAGTGTGTGCATCATATGGTGCTGCGATGTTGACATGCCTGGCTAGGACATTCGCATTCCTCAGAAACTCGCGCAGTCCCGTGAATTCCGATTCCGTGGATGTTTCTCACCAGCTGGCTCGAAGAGACGTGCGCGCTCTTCGCGCTCCGTGCTTTTCAGCAGCTGGCCTCCGCCCCTGGAGGCAGGACGTGGTAGGACGTGGTAGGACGTGGTGTGTCATGGACATGCTTTTGTGAGGTTATATTGGGATAAGGGCAAAGAACATGGAAACTACTGTAGTATTATCGGGTATATGTTATTTATTTGAGTGTATATTGGGGTATATATTGAAGATGTCTGAAGTAATTCTTCCTTTGCAGGCGAGAGCGTCGTCACTACGGCCATCAGCACATGGCTTTGGAAGGCTGGAATGCAGACTTCTGTTATCTTGAATCCTTATGCAGAGCGCTCCAAATCTATGTGTTGACAACTCATGTTACTGTACCGGGTGGCAAGTCCAAGTGTGACAAAATGCTACCATCCTCGCATTCAGCGCTAGATGTTTGACGCTCGTGTTGGTGTAATACGTTGCTGTCGACTGTGACGTGTGACTACATCGCCTGAGCTGCATTTTGTTTTTGTTGCTGTTGGCGAAGTGATCGGGTATATTTTGCATCATAATACTGTTTTACCACCATTAACGCTTCCAGCGGCTGTCCAAAGCACATAGACCGTGTGGGCGGACGAAGACAGAAGCTTTCTGATCTTCAGTGTGGCAGTCATCTTCGTACTACAAGCTGGGTTGCTGTTAAGCAAATCAAATTAAGTTGCCATAACAAGAAAGCCCAATTATTAGTATATGCCCATAGTATGGTGACTTAGATTAAGTTCCTTTAGAGCAACCCGGTGAGTGTCGCCGTCATCTTCGTCAAGGCGACGTTTGCGGAAGGAAGTTCTTGAAAACATGAGGGCTCGAACCAGCTCGCTGAAGGGGCCTGCGGACGGTGGTATGATAGGACTACGGTATTCTGGTATCATTGGTCAAAGAGTGCAAACGAACAGAACGAACCCGGGTTCCAACCTCTGGTTGTGAGTAAGGAATCCTAGAATGCAATCCCCATATAATACATTCCCTCATTCACTACCCTAAACCCTCAACCCTAGATCTGAATCCTCAACCCTACCCCGGAGCAAATCTGCTAGACATTGAAAGGGTCGACGGGGTTGAAAAACCCAAAACCCCAAACGCCATATTTCTTTATTCCCTACTAATTCCCGCCTAAAACCCCGAACCCCAAAGCTGAAGCCAAAACCCTAAAACTCTAAAGCCCTAAAACCTAAAACCCTAAAACCCTACAACCCGAAAACCCTAAACCCCTAAAACCCTAAACCCCTAAAACCCTCAACATCCCTAAAATCCTGAACATCCCTAAACCCCAAACCCTAAGTGAACTTTTCCCTGCCCTGGTAGAAAGCAGGCCTGGGGCTTTGAGCCTGGCTCCCGGCATTGAAGTGCATGGTGCTGATAAGTTTTTGGGGAATAATAGGGGTATATAGAGGTAGATATATATATATCTCTCTCTCTCTCTCTCTCTCTCTAGGGCTACATGGCGGTATATCTGATAGTTTTTTGGGAATAATAGGGGTATATGGGGGTATGTATATAGGGTTATATAGGGGTATATAGGGGTGTTTAGGGTTTTAGGGTTTTAGGGGTTTAGGGTTTGGGGTCCCCCTTGAGTAGATAGAATATGGGGTACATGGGGATCTTATTATTATATTGTACCCAAAGCCATATTCTATCTACTTAAGGGGGACTAAAGGGTTTCAGGGTTGAGGGTTTTAGGGTTTCGGATTTTAGGGTTTAGGTTCTAGGGTTTAGGGATTCTATACGGGATAAATGGAGATTTAAAACGGAAAATATTTTAATTAGTATTATACTATACTATTCTACTATGGGCTCATGGGGATCATAGAGGGGACAATTGAACAGACAATGGAAACTACGGTTCAGGGTGCGAGTTTAGGGGTATGTAACCCCAATCATGGAAAATCATGGAAAAGACCATTGACGAACATTGAACATGAGATGGACACTGGGTTTGTAGAGTGCTGTTTCGAGCGTTGCGGGGGGCGCTAGCGTTGTGTGGATGTATGACGTGATGGAACGAACTAAGAATGCACGTCAAGGTCACTGGGATGTCACCTCATTGTCTGAGAACCCTGACTCTAGATCTTAGATCATACAACTCAAGAATCCCGATTGCTTCAGTGATCGTCTGGCCTTTTTTCGGGAAGTTCCGGGAGCAGCTGGTTCACACCTTGCTGCGTCCAGTGCAGCAGATGTAGACAGGGGTGTTGCAAGAGGGGCAGAGATCCATGCAAGTTTCTCCACCTGCGGCAGGTGAGATCAAATGGTAGTTTCCCAAAATTAGGGATACCTTTTTAAGGGTCCCCATACTAAGGATTATAATATTTTGGGGTCTATATTGGGGCCCCCTATTCAGGGAAATTACCAAATCATTCACAACTTTCGTTTTATGGCAATACAAACATCCGCACGAGAGCTGGCTCAGGTCAAGGCATTTTCTACACCCCGAAATGAGCTTGCATCCCTTGGCATGCAGACGTTGGTCAGATCACAGATCTTGCAATAACTGCTTTTGTCCCAAATCTATAGGACTGCCCTCCTTTCAGATCAGAAGCCACTCCTTCTAATCCCTTATTTTCCATATTCCCATCTATTTGAAATTAGAGTGGGTGGGGGCTGTAATATTAGGGGCAGGGGATTAAGCAACCCCTAAACCACCTGAACTGAGAAACCCCTTGCCAGCTCCTGGGCTCGGGGTGGCACACCGAGCGCTTGCTCTGCCGAGCAAGCGCCGCTGGGGCCCAGGAAATGGCTTTGTGGGCTGAGTGGTTTGGTGCTGGATTTCTGAACTTTTGGATTTATGGTCCCCCCTTAAGTAGATAGAATATGTCTTTGTGTATGTTATAAGTAAGATCCCCATATACCCCATATTCTATCTACTTCAGGGGGACTATAGGCTGAAAGTAGGACCGAAGGATCTCAATATATCTCAATCTTGTGGGTTCAAGGCCTTGCTAGCTTTGGCTTCGTGTGCAACTCTCATTAAATCATTCGGGACTTGCCACGAAGAAAGGGGACCGCATTATTTTGGGATTTGACAACTTCCCTGAGCCTTGCGCAGAGAAAGTGGGATGAAGCTTGTTATGATTGGCGTGCCTGCAAACTGTAGAAGCTGGGTAGAACATGGGGTGTCTTAGATTTAGCGTTGTTGTGCTCGCTTCTGTTTTTCCATCTGCGAGACGGCTAATCATCGTCCGTAGGTTGTTGTTATTGTTGGGCATATGGTGGTTTCAGAAGACCAGCAACTCACCACTCACGCGCAAAATCAAACGGTCAAACGGGAAAATTCGGTCTGCCAGGATTCCCAAAAAGGGCCCTCATGCATGTAAACTCCCTGATCACCATGGAACAAGGTGCTTTGTGTGGAAAACGCAGCAAACTTGCGCGCATTTTGGGGCATCTACAAGACAGGTTCAGAGCAGATCGCCACAAGATGATAAGACATTACCAGCAACAACGCCAGCCAAGAGAGAGCAGAGTCTTGCCTTAAAGCTGCATCTGGGACTCGAGAACCTAAAGCCTAAACCCCAAACCCCAAACAGACAAGTCTTGCACCTTTCCTCTTTCAGCCTCCGGATTGGGCTTAAGCGCGCCGTGGAAGGGAGAAGAAGGGGCATTCTTTGACGTGAGGGTTGGTAACATGGCTGGTATGAACAGGGGCGCGCCGCGTGCTCCTCTGACTGGGTGATTTTTCTTTGCAAGACCAAGCGATTGTGGAGCTTCCCTTAGTAAATCAGATTGCAATGCAAGTCGAGACTAAACCCTAAACCCTGAATAGTAGTTTCCATTTACTTCGCTGTTATCCCAATATATCCCCAACATATTTCCTACATACCCTCTATATCCCCAATACATCCAATACATATCCCCTCTCAAATATATCCCTCACAACAGAAGGCCCTCATCCAAAGGTCTTCTTCCAGCTCTTCTGGCTTGAGCAGCAGCTCATCCTGGCAGAAAGAGCCTGAGGACATCTGTGAGGACAGTGGGCAAGGGCAGCGCTTAGAAGGTGACTGTGGGGGCTTAGCGTATTTGCTTGCCTCATATCATTTGTATGAACTCTGCTGGTCCAATCTGCCAAAGTCCGGGCCACTTTTAGATGCCAAATGCGCGAACATGGATGTCCTCCTATCATTCCATGCCTGATCGACATGAGTAGCAAATGAAAAAAGCGGAACCGGCGAGGGCATCAAAGTTGAGTTGATTTTTTCGAGCAATGCAGCTGTTGCTACTTGTCACATGGGTTCCCCTATCACCTCCATACTGCCCCCGCCCCGCAGAGGTCCCCCTAAATCCTCAATCTCTCCCAAAAAATTCTAATTAAGGGGAAGCCTATGGGTGCTGGAAAAGGGGGGGGGAGGTGCTGGGGGAACCCTAGACCCTTAACCCTAAACTTAAATCCTAACCCAAACCCCACTAATCCCCCAAAACCTAACCCTTAAATCCTAAGCCCAAAGCCCGTGATCGTGAGGAGAAAGCTGGTTCAAGACTTTACCGGCCATGAGCCAAGCTTTGCCTCTGCAAAGATTCCATGCTACTGCATGCTAGCGCAATAATTTAGGGTTTAGGGTTTAATGAGGATTGTATTCAAGCTACCTAAACCCCCAAAAAAGTATGTAAAATGATAGCCCTAAACCCCTAATAACATCCATAAAGGCCATTATTTTAGATACTTTTGGGGTCCAGGTACTTACTGTCAACATGAGGCTTGTTTAAGGATCCTTAGTAGTGGACCTAGGGGTCCCTCTTGTAGCTTGAGATAGTCCTTCTTCTAGCCCCTGATCAGGAACCCATGCCCATTGAGTATATGGGTAATATTGACTGTAGCTCACATAGGGTTTAGGATTTAGGGATTGTAGGAAGGGATTATACATAGGCATGATATATGGATTCTGTTGGGATTTCTAGGGGCTATGGGGGGCATGTAGGGTTCAGGGTTTACTGTATAGGGATTATACAGGGATTCTCCAGGCGTTATTGAGGGATCATGCAGAGGTCATCTAGGGATTGTGTTGGGATCGTATGGGGGTTGTGAAGGGCCTCGGGGATATCTCCGCGCTCCTGGAGGGTGTAATGGAAAAGAAAATTGAAGATGAAACGGCGCTTAACAGGATATGGGGTATGTGGTAGGGGTTCAACGTTATCCCAATCATGGTGCATCAAATGGAAGATGAAATGGACTAGGGTTTCGGGAGTAGGTAATAATGTAGAATCAAATGGAAAAGGACGTGGAACAAGAAAGGGAGTCTAGGTTTATATACAAGTTTCTGGGGAGAGCTACAGTCTAAACTCCTTAAAGGGGGTTATATAAGAGATCATATATGGGAGTATGATAGGGTATGTTTAGGGGGATACTAGGAGTTTGGACTATAGCTCATATGCAGGGAGAACCTATCTTAGACAATTCTTATTTAGAGAGTCTCTTATGGGGAAAATATCATGGATAGCGCAGGTGTTTCGTGATATACCTATTTAGATGTAGATTGTACCAGTCCTGAATGATGGGATATTCCGGGAATACTTTGAAGAAATCATTATTAACGGACCACAAGCCTTGCATTACCTATTAATCCCTTACAAAGCCCTAAGAATCAAATTTCCATTGGGCCGCTAAATATACCCTACAACCCAAACCCTGAATACAACAGTTTTGTCCATTTTTCTTTTTGCATGCTCCTATACACCCCTATACACCCCTACAAATTCTCTACATAGTCCCTAGCCGTACCCATCCTGAATGTCCTTAGCCCCTTAATTCTAAACCAAACCCTTAACCGCTTAACCCTAAACCCAAACCCTTAACCCCTTAACCTTAAACCCAAACCCTTAACCCCTTAACCTTAAACCCAAACCCTTAACCCCTCCACCCTAAACCCAAACCCTTTACCCCGTAACCCTAAACCCCTAAAGCCTTAAACCGAACGTCGTCTCCCAGGCTAATGGGAGACGTGGTGGCCTGAGATTCGCATGCATTCCGGCAAGTTGGGGGGTGTTTCCATAGCTAGGGGGCCCCACGCATAGACACCCAATGAGCTATAACCCTTGGTCCTTGCTATTATCAGGATTTGCATATAAATGGCTTCTGATTTTTGTCACCATGCAAGCTCACTCAAGAGAATTGGATCTTCCCAGGAGCGAGGAAAGGATCCGGAGATCAAATCTACGCTCGAAGCCGCGCTTTCGCGCGTCCAGGATCCCAAACATGAGTTGGTGGATGCCTCAAACGCTGCCAGACACCTTTTTGGGCTTAGGGTTCAGGGTTTAAGGTTTAGGGTTTAGGGTTTTGGGTTAGGCTGTTGAAGAAGACCCTGCAGCGATGGAAGAAGCCCCATTCTAGACCCCTAGGAAGCTGTAAGACTTAATCATGGACTCCTTTAAAGGTACCCCCCAAGTCCCAAGTTTGGCAAACCCTAATCCCCATAACTACCGCTAAACAATCCCAGTGTAGTTTCCATTTCATTTTCCGTTTGATTCTCCAGTTTTCGGGTGATATATATTGCTATATACCCCTACAATATCCCAATATAT